TGCGGCTGATGCGTATAGAAATTGGTCCAAGATACGGCAATGATGATTGGATCACGGATGCTTTTTCCTTTNGGACCAATTTCTATATGCATCAGCCGCATATTTCGACGACATAATTTCATACTACCCATAACTCCCCTACCAAGCCTGCGCAGATGTATCTGCAACGACCGGGACAGGCTAACCACTTTAGAAAAGTCAGGGGTTTACAAGATATACCTAGAAAATCCGGTAACGGGAAATATTACAAGATACATAGGAGCAACAACAAGAATGCTCGCCTCCCGCCTTGCTGAGCATCAGGATGACGTAGCCAAAGGAAGATGTTCTACTGAACTCGCTAAAAAAGTTCTCGAGCAAGGCTACAACCCATTATGGCCCAGAACGGCAATAATTAAATGCTGCAACAATCGAAGGCTTGTGTTTATCTGGGAAGCGCTTCTCACGGCTACTTCAGAAGCGTGCAATGTTCCCACCCTCGATCTACCCGGGGTGTGGATTGCCTTATATCGGCGCCTAAAAAGCGAAACGCGCCTAACATCGTATCGCCAACGCGGTAGCATTTCCACGCATGCGCCGCTAACATCGTAAAATATAAAAATTTGAACATATCAAAAAATTATTTGCACGTTCTTAACGAAATTTCCGGACGCCTGTTTGAATTTTAAATATTTTGTTCCTTTGGAATATCCTGCACGTTTGTCTTGTTAAAATTTTATTCTTTTCACCTGAAGATGGCGATTATACATTCGTCGAAAGTGCTTGTGTTAATACTAAAGAAACTTTATTAACGCTGAACTCAGTGAATTTGTATCCATAAGTTATATGTGGATTTTTTTAATAAAACCATCTGACTGCATTTGTCGGCTTTAATTAACATTATCTTATTATGGCCATTTTTTTGTTTTAGCCATTTCTTGCTTGTTTGGATTTGGACCCACGTGTTTCTGTCTTCTGGGTCACTCTTCATTTTTTGCATTTCGAAGAGAGTCTGCCATCTTCGGAACTCTTTGTGCATGTGGTCTTAAGTATTTTTAGATTGGGCTAGGATTTTATCCATGTTAGAAATGATGTTTTCAGCCATCATTTTGGAGAACTTTGATGCGTACATAGGTCCATACTGTCAAGCTATAATTATACTGTGGCGAATGCCACCCTTCACGTCTGTACCCTTAACCATTGTAAAATTCAAGCAACAACCCCCGGGTGTATGAGTCATCACTTCCTGCAATAAATTCGAACTCACCCCATAAAGACCGTTGACCACCAGTTGTCTTTTGTTAGCTGCATTGTCGAGACATGTGCAGTACCAAATGCACAAGAAAGACAATAAAATCAGTTTTGGTTATGATCTTGTCTTGTTCGTTTCTTTCACTCGCAGTGACGAAAGATAAAAGCAACCACAACCAAAAAACACAATACAGTTTGGTGGGTTAATGTGATCCCAGCAGATGAGGGTGTTGTTAAATTTTGGTATATGTTTTGATTTTTGATGACGAAAGATCCATTTTAATTTCTTCCATACTTCTTATGCAGGTTTCTGCTTACTTCTTTTAGTTTAATTACTCATGCATTTATATTTGTAAGTTCAGGCCTTCATTGTAGATTTCATTCTCTAACTTTATAAGATTAAAAAGACTGCTGTAGACATATCTTTTGGATGATTGAATTGCTTTTAAGAGGCATATAAAATATATTTTTATGATAAGTTCTTTACATCCATATGGTAGTTTAATTTGGTATATTGACATACCTTGTTCTTTCTGCATTCAAATAGAAAGTTTCTTTTCTCTCAAGCTTTGGTTAGGATAAATACTGCCTTTCATATTTCTTGACTAGTAACTCTATATTTCAAACTAAATCTTCTATCCATTAAAGGGATGGGTCTGCTTAAACTGTAACATATATTTTCTGGGTATGGTAGAATGGTCTAATATTGGTTATTTTTTGGGAGTTGTGAAGGTAATTTACAGTGTGGTTTAACAAATTCTGATAAAAGTTTTGTTTGCTCTATCACATGAAAATTAACATTGTGACAATAGTGTTTTGCCAAGGCAATGGCAAAATTCACTTTAACTCAAGAATTTTCTTTACAGTATTTGTTTTAAGATGAGTCAACTGTATATATTTTTCAAAAACTATGTCTTGAACTATGTCTGGTCCAGCATAGTGCTAGATACCAGATATCTTTACTACAGTGGAACCCCGGTTAACGAACTTAATCCGTTCCGCGACTCCGTTCGTTAACTGAATTGTTCGTTAACCGAAGCAATTTTTCCCATAGAAATTAATGCAAATGCAATTAATCCGTTCTAGTCTCCGAAATTTTTGTGATTTTATTTGTAATACACAGTAGATTTTCTTTGATGAAAATTAGGAAAACGTAGTATCTATCATTACAGCAACAAGCATGTAAACTTTGTTTAATAAAATAGCACTGTACTGTANATTATAATTTATTTATTAATAAATTATTATGTTTATAATTAATATTATATTTTAATAATTATAAACTAATGTCATCATCTAAATTACAAACAAATTACAGTAATAACTAAAGTCTATAGGAAGCCTACATACCACCTGATCTTCATCCCTGCCCGTTCCCACAATCCCTTTATCTTCAAGATAGCTGGCTTCAGTGCCCTAATTCGTAGGACCTTCACCCATTCATCAGACACACATGACAAGGATACAAAGCTCCTAACTATTGCCTGACATGCAATTCTGCATGGCTACTCTCCATACACCATTAAAAGCCTTATAGGTCATCTTTTGCCAAACATTCACACCCAGAACACAGTTTACAAGACTGTCACATATGACAGAAGACTAGCCACCGTATAGAAAGAAATATCAAGGAACAATAATTTTTGTTTAGCCTTTCATAGAAGTCTTTCAATTTTCACCCTCCTCTGTAATGCTAAAGATCATTTTGACATGCATCTCCAACCAGACATCTACACTATTCTTGTTACCACAGATTTATCCACAACTTAGAATACATAGATGCTACAATGCACCCTTTAAACACCTGCCTCAAAGAACATCAGAATTCCATCCTGAAAAGATTAGAAAGCACTGTGCTAGCTATCTTTTCCTCTGCCCTGACATCAGTGTGGATTTCAACTGTGCACACCTCAAATGTAGCTCATCCTGACAACCCTTTACCAAACATGTAGAGCAAGTTGAAATTTATAAGGCCTCCTGTAAAAAAACTGTTAATAATTTTTGTGATGTAGACTCCTTCCCCACAGCATGGAAGTCTTTCTTCGAATTGTAAACTTACTCTCCTCTCCCCCTCCCTCTCTCCTTCTTAAGTCACCCCTCTTTTTTCACTCATATATGGCAATCCCCCATTGTTTGAACAGTTGTGGGATTAGTTAGCCTGATGATGCCCATTAAACATGGGCAAAAACGTTAGCATTTCCCATTTTTATTTTCGTTGGTTATTTGGTTCTTTGTAGCTTTGTAATGGTTAATGTTATTTACTTAATAATATGTTGTTTAAAATTTTATAATTTTTGTAACAAATTTATTAAGATAAATAATTATTATTGGTGGTTATATATATATATATATATAAATGGACATGTATGTCCCTATATTTCACTTTTCTGCAAAAATTACACATCGCACGTGAATGGTGTTTGTATGTGGTGGTAGCCCCAAGTCTCCATTCGTGCATAGGGGTGGTTGCGTCTCAATAGCTATAAGGGTGCAGGAGATATGAGGCTGAAAGTGGTTGAAAGTGGCTTTCTATTTCGAATGTTTTGTTCGAATTTGTTCGAATTAAATTCGAACATAAAATTCGAATATTGGTTCGATTATAGAACGATTGTAAACGTTCCAGAAACGTTGAAAATAGTTCGTTTGACTGGACGTGAACAGGAGACGTTCAGAAATAGAATCGGGACCAGGAAGTGTTAATATAAAGCGGCATGCAAGATTTACAGGCGGTTTTTTGCGCTTTTGCGGGAAATCGAACATATTTTTATGCTCATGTAAAAATTCTCTGGAAACGTCTGGAAACTGGAGACCTAATTCTTGCATTTTGTGAAAATGGGTAAGATTGGCTATAATGTAATTATCTTAATCTTCACTATTGTTACTTTTTGCCCACAAATAAAAACCCAGCGAAGCGGGTCCTTGCAGCTAGATTCTAGATTACTTAGAAAAACAGTCTTTTATATATTAAAAAAAAACTATATTACATACAAATGTACGAACAAATAAAAACCCAGTGAAACGGGTCCTTGCAGCTAGTAATATAATATAATGCAAACACTTAAAACCCACAAATCATTTGTATAGAGTTTGAATGTAACTGTTACAAAGATTCTTTAATGTTAGTTAATTTAAATTGATTGTATATTCTAATTTTTCATTTGTTATGTTATTCTTTGAATGCCTGAAGAAGGCTATTAAAAACATGTGACCTAAAATGTTTACAATGAATAAATTATATGCTGGTTTTAAAGGTACTTTATATATTAATTGAAAGAGGGTTTCAGTTTGTCCAACTTAGTTTTAGTAAATGACTGGGGCTAAAAGTATGATTTAGTTATCAAATTAAAGCTCTTGTAGATGATGCCATTGAAGAGAGATTTGAGAAAGGTGCAATGGTTTAGGCATGGCGAAGTGACAAATGTACAGTACAATGTTAAGTCTATGGGACAAATATGTTGGGATTTCATCCCTGTTAACTTTAGCTCGAGCAATTTTTTTGTTTTGCAGTTTTATTATTGTAAACACAGGTCAATAAATGTACATCTTTGCTCCTAAGACCATTGTTTTTTTATCACTCTCTTCCTCACCACTCAACCTCACCAATCCCCACCCCCTCAAATACCTGAGCAATGCCTGGCATATGTAGCTAGTATTATTATTATTGCAACTTTTGTGTTTGAGTTATGATTTAAATAATTTATTTTTAATGTATTAAAGATTAAATATGTAGGCACTTGAATTAGACCTGAGAAAATTTTTGATTTAAATATTCAGATATTACTTATTTATTTACAGCTTGCTCCCAAGGATGCAGATGAATTACAAAAGCTAAATCAGTTAAAAGTTCAAGCTCAACAATGGCAAGCTCAGCAAACTTGTGCTCAGCAGTGGACTTATCCAAATACTCAAACAACAGCACCATGGCAACAAGGAAATTGGCAGTCACAGAATATGTGGCAACAGCCGCCACCACCACCTCCAAGTTGGTTTCAAGGACCCCCTCAAATGCCACCACCTCCACCTGTAGAGTCTTGGCAGACTTCTTGGGACCCAAACAATCCACCACCACCTGATCCACCTTTGCCAAAAGATGATCAAAAGCCTCCTCCTCCAGAAGATAACAAAACTTCAACTACTCAAATACCAGCTCTTCAGGTTTACCAGGAAGAGCCTCCACCTCCACCAACACAACCACCTCCACCACCACCTGATGAGGAAAAGGAACAACATTCTACCTCACAAGCTAACAATTCACAAACTGATAATTCACAGAAGTCTACAGTAACAAATCCTTCAAATGAAAATACCAATACATCACCACTAACTTCAAGAGAAACAAATCAGCAGCAAAGACAACAGCAAACTTGGCAATCAAAGCAGAATTTAACTCAAACTGAAAATCAAGAATCAACAAATGAATCAATGGCTGGAGAGTCAAAAATTCAAGAAGAAAATCGTGAAAATTGGCAACAAAATATGCCCTCAAAACATTCAGAAACTTCTGATTCCTCTCATCAAAGGTGGAAACAGTCTTCTTCTCAGGAAGAAAAAGATGAAAATATTCAAGGATGGACAGGAAATATAACAAATGTAAACATTCAAAGTCAAGTAAATTTGGATTTTCAAAGACAAGAATGGCATCCAACACAAGGAGTTAGACATCACTTCCCACCCCCTCAAGATCAATCAGAATTACATAAAGGTTGGCAAGATAATTTTAATCAAAATCAAGGTTTTAGATCATCAATTTCTATGAAAGATCACATTCCTCATGATAAACAAGGCTCGCAATGGCAACCAAATCAAGCTGCTAGGCCTCAGACCTCATATCAATCAGAACATACACAACAAAGTTGGCAACATAATGAAAGACAAAGGAAATCTTTACTTCCATTACATCAAGAAACAAAATCTTTTCAAAAGAATTGGCAAGAAAATCCAAGAATAGATGAGGATCAGAATCAGCAAAATATCTGGCATCAAAACAGGGATTTTAGATCTACACAAAATAAAGGACAAAATCAGGATGAATCAAATATATGGAATCAGAATCAAAGATCTAGATTTGATGGACAACATTCTTCTAAACAAGAATGGCAACAAGACTCAGGAGGAAGAGCTATAGATTACCAAAAACCCTGGCAATTTAGACCTCCACAACAAAATGAACAGGGTGGACAAAGTGGTCAGCGATCATTCCGTCAACAAGAAAATTTCGGAGGAAAAAGATCATTTCAACAATCGGAACAATATGGATTAAATCAAAGACCATCTCATCAGGAAGAAAAGTCAGATTCTGGTAATAGAATGTTACAACCTGACTATCTCAATCAGTCTCGTCCTCAGCATTCTGAAAATATGGGATTAGGAAAAAGCCTACTTCAACCAGATTATCTTAGAACAGGTATAAGGCCAAGGAATAATCAAAGATCAGATGATTTAGAAAAACAATTATCTGGACAGTCTGAATATTTTGGATCAGGGCAAAGATTCCAATCTGAAAGTGTTCAATCAGGAGGAAGGCAGCCATTTCAACAACCAGATCATTCAGGGTTGGGTCATCAATCAGAACATTTTGGGTCTGGAGAAGAAAGTCATCAAATGGAAAATTTTGGATCTGGGAAAAGACTACTTGAGCAAGATTTTTCTGGTTCTGGACAAAGATCTTATCAACAAACAGAAAATATGTCAATTGCAAAAAGACCTTTATTATCTTTAGACTATGGTTCAGGTAAAAGACCACGTCTTATGGATCATCTTGGAACAGACCAGCATTCTATGCATCAAACAGAGCATTTTGAATCGGGACCAGGCTCTTTTCAACAGTTAGATAACATTCCATCAGGCCAAAGGTCTCCAAAACAAGATCAGTTTGGATCAAATCAAAAAAGCCATTTTCAATCTGGGAAATTTGGACAGAGACGTCAACAAGATCACTTAAATATGGGACAAAGGAAATCTCAACAATCAGAACATTTTGGTTCTAAAAATAACTGGCAACAAAATCATGATAAAAGAAGTCAGTTACCACAAGACAAATTACAAGATCCATTATATCGCTGGTCTGATAATTCTCAAACTACATCAAGTTCTCAAGATAGATTTCATGATAACAGTTTTCAGTTTCAGGGATCTGGATCCATAAATAAAGATAATGTAGATTGGCAAAATAATAATCAGGATTCTAGGGGAAATCAGTTTGAACAGGAAAATGAAAGATGGAAAACACAGGGATCTAGGTTTTCTCGACATCAAGATTGGCATTCGCCATCTAAACAATTTAGTGAGCAGCACGGTCGTCAAAATAAATCTTTTAATTATTCAGATGAAGTAGTAAGTATAATTTTCTATCACTTAACATTTTAAAAATAGCTAGTTAAAAGATTTATTATTAACAAATTTATATTATTTGAATAAGTTATTCAGAAAATTAGCCGAATTTTTATTTAAGTTGTTAAAATCTAATACAAAGTAAATATTGTGAATATGTTTGAAGTTGAATTTCATAAAATTAATTGATTTAATTTATTAATATGCAAAAAACAGAAGACTATCATTATGAACAAAATTTTGTTGTAATTTTGAGTTTTTAATGTTATATATCTGAAAAATTTATTGCATTGTTTTGATTAAAGTTTTCTGTGTATTTAAAATTATCGTATACCTCAATTCAATGAAATTTTGTATGCTGAAGTTCTAATTAATTAATAGAAAATGATTTTCTAAATAATCAGAAATTAATTGTAAGTAGAGATCAGATTTTGTAGCCACAAAAAGTTGAAAAATTAGCAGTAAAAATTTCTAAAGTAGCAAATTCAAAAATAAATCTTTATTTTTACATATATTTACATATCACATATTAAAAAAAAACTAAAAGATAATGTACATCAAACAAAACATTTACCATCCAGTAAATAATTTTAATGTAAAATTTGATCTAAAATATTTGTCAAATTTTACATTAAAATTATTTACTGAATAGTAAAGGTTTTGTTTGATGTACTTAATCATAAATCCAATTACAGAGAAAGTAATTTTGTTTAAAAGAGAATGAACAATTAGGTGAAACTATAATTCCTTTACTGTTTTAATTTACTGTTTGTTGCATTTTTAATATAATAAATAGTATTATATAATAGTGTATATAATATTAATATCTAATATTTTTTATTATAATTTACATTATGCTACTATTTTAATTTATATTGAAGCTACTATTACAGTGAACCACTATATACAAATTTGAATTTTTTTTTAGTAAATCAATTATGTTTTTCACTCACAATATTGTTACATAATAAAATGATTTCTTAACTCTTTAAACAAGAAATTGGCCTTATCCATTCAAAACGATCCAACATTTTTCCAAATAAATTAAAAAATTTTTTAAGTAATAATTTTCCTTGTTGTTCTGGGAATTTGTGACAATCGGACATTTGTGAACTGGTTTGATAAGTCTAATTTTTTTGATGAGTGACATTCCTCAAACTAAGTTTTTATTGGTATTAATAAGAAAATTATAATGTGAATTTATAAAAGTTCTGGACGTTTTAATTATATTAAATAATAGTGATATTAATATGTTATTAATTTTTCAGAGTAATACAATAATCCAAAATATCCATTTATTTGAAATTACAGCTATCAACTATGGCATTAATCCTTTTCTTTGCAAGAGTACATTTGGAATAAAAAAATTTACAAGTTTTCTATAAAAAAAAGAATTCAACAAAATGTGTCTAAAGGCTTAAAAGTAGCAATAAAGTTGCAAAAATAACAAAAATTGCATATTAGGATTTATTCAGAAAAACTTTAGAGTCATGTCTGGTAAAAATATCTTATTAGGAAAGTGCTATCTCTGAACAGAAAAACATAGCAACTGCTATTAAATTCAATCTATAGTTATAAGAAATACTTAGGATTTATATTAACAAGGAAAGGCAACACAATCACTACCTAACATTTAACCATACTTTACATTTAAAATAAAAGTTTGTGAAATTAAACCTATATGTAATAGTCAAAAATCCTCTATTCTAAGCATTTTTGAGGGAGAAAGGAACCAGTTTTAAGTTATTGGATTTATATGCTCTGGCACAAATATGTTCTTAAGAGTGAGTAGCATAGTGGTTATGTTTCAATCTATATAGAACAGCCACAAGACCATATGGCATGGCTGTTCTGGTTTCGAATCTCAATTTTTTTTTTTTTTTTGTAGAAGGAAAGGTGAGCTGCATTTTTCCATCACCAAATTATTTTATTTTTCCATCTTTTACTAATTTACTTAATGAATTAGTAAATACATATTTCCATGCCTTGTTATAAAAAAATCAATTCTCCATTTTTAAAGAAACTTGAATTTATCCAAAAAACATGACACTAACTAACAACAAATGACGTGAAAATTGTTGAAATGAAGTATTTATGATTAATTGAAGGTCAAAACAGAAAACTGTAAGAAGTAGATCTATATCTGATTTCCATTTACAATTTGGTGTAAGTTTTAACACAGCTGCAACATCTCCAACTCCCAGTTAAATAAAATGTTTTCATTTCCTTTAAATTTGTGGTTGGTAGTTATTTATGCTATTGGGAACTTTGCAAAAATATAACAAAAGTATACTGTAGTCCAGGGGTCACCAAAGTGGTCGATATTGACCCTCAGGGATCGACGCAACATCATTGGGGGGGGTCGATGAGACTAAGGGGTCACAACCTTTTTTTTTTTTTTTTCTACTTATACAGAGACCACAACGTTCTTTTTTTTTTTTTTTGCTCATACACATACACTTGTAATAAAACTTTATGGTGGGGGTCAATGTGAGGCTTTGGAAAGTGGTTTGGGGTCGACAGTTAAAAAAGTTTGGCGACCCCTGCTGTAGTCAAATGAGAGGGCAATTAAAATAGAGCATCAATAGAATGAAAATACATGAGTAACTTATAAGATCTTTGTATTAACTATTTTTATTGAAATTAAAAATTATGATAAATTCAACACTTTTTTGTTTCAGATTTGTAAATTTAATTTTATGAAAGTCTTGAATCTTGAATTAATTTTTCTGAGACGAGAGACAAGAAAATATATATATACAGTATATATATATATATACAAATTTG